GAGGGCGATTGTCCGAAATTGGTCATTTTCACTACGAAAACTGCGTGAAATGGGAAAACTGTGACGTCACGATAACTTATTCAAGATGGCGGCAAACGCGGGGATTTCGCTGTAGGTCGGTAAAATATGGTAACTCGCATAGGATGGAACTGTAGCTCCCTGGTTTCGCGTTAACACCGCGACGAACAAAATAACCGACAGCGAAACCAAGCGAGCTACAGAACTGCAGCTATGTTTGCAGTGACTTATTTCATCAGTTTACTGGTTATATGTTACGGAGTCGATCTATGGCTGCGCTGTAAATGTTCAACAATATGAACTTGAAGATTTATATTCTTGATATTCCTACTTCGTCAGTAATATTCATTCATGCCACTTGTTTTTGCAATAGTTGCTACTAGTAACTATTGACAAGCTCTAGTTTTTGTTGTCTCTCCCAGAAATGTAATTGTTGTACTAATACGAAGTATTGTAATGATAAGACATACAATTTTTTTTTATTACTTTGACATTGAAACTCCGGGGTTATAAGATGGGAAATTATTATAAAATGGTGTAGTATATGTTGTTGTTCATTCTACTTTTTCAGATGTGTGCGAGACTGTTTTAATAAAAATTAAATTAAAAATCAGTAGGCAATAACATAACATAATAGACATAACACTAACGTGTGTTTACATTTCTGCAGCACATTCACCCTCACAGCACTTGTGCCCGATTTGTACAAAGATGGTTAAAAATAAAGCAGAAATAGAAAAGCAAAATGAGTTTGAGAAGTTTCTGTTCAAAGATTTACTCAAATACGCTCATGAATAAATGGGCGCAGGGGCGGATCTAGGATTCTGGAATGGGGGGGGGGGGGTAAGCTGGCCAAGTTCGCGATCGCCGATGGCGCGAAGCCTTGTTGGTTGTTAAAAATAGGGGAGCCGCGGCCCCCTCGGCCCCCCTCTAAATCCGCTCATGGGGCGTCACATTCTCTGAATAGCAAGAAGCTAGATCGGACTACATATAAATTATGGATTTTGTTGCAATTTCTCATTTTTCCCGATGGTTTTGTC